AAGTAGGCCCCATGCCCAGTGTGGATGGAACACAACTCGTGGCTTGAACTCACGACCCTGAGATCAAGACCTGGGCTGAGACCAAGAGTCAGATGCTTAACTGATTGAGCCACCTAGGCACCCCAGTAAATTGATGAATTTTAAAACTGACCATATTTACTTTTTGATCCACAAAGTAAATTGTGATTATTAGTTTCAAACTTTGTCCTTGTCAGATCTTTTACCAAGACTTTAAATCCCTCTTTTTTGTGCTCTTGCCTGTACTCTCTGAAGTTGTCTAGCAAAGGAATTTGATAAATGACCATAAATAATAAGAAATAGCAAGGGATCTAATGTGTATACTGATCAGTCTCTTGACTAATTGAACTTGTAAATTAAGCCATCATTCTTACCACTTACTTGGCATCTCTCATGCCAAATGACAAAAATTCCTTGACCAAACTTTAGGCAGTTTCCTGAACCTTCTTTTAGGCCCATCAGTGTACTTTCTTGTAAGATCCAGTTTTAACAAGAATCCCTCACCATCGGTATCTGATCACCCTCATATCTGATCAGGTTCTTCATCTTTCACCATCCCCTAGGTTATGTATCATCATCCTGGCCTATCTTTAGCAAGAATCTTGTTAGGTGGGTTTAGTCAGAATCCCCTTCTCCTGATGTTTCCTCTTAGTACTTTTCCATCCATTAGCCCCCACCATGGTCCTTGGCTATAAATTTCCATTTGCCCCTGATGTTTTCAGAATTGAGCCCAGTTCTGTACTGAGATCTCTTTTCCCCTATTGCAATAGTTCTGACTAAAAACTGTTTTTTTACTGCTTTAACTACTGTCCAACTCTAGTTTTTCTTTGAAGATGAGTGAAAGATTCTTTTTTTTGTAAAGGATTATTGTCTTTTTATTTTTATGTCCACTTTGCCTGGCACTTAGTTCCTTAGTAATGTTTTTTGAATGAATGAATGATAGCTAGTCTGAACCCCTTCTAGATTTTCATGAATTTTTGATATTAATGGTGCATATGCCCTTCTCATTTTTTTGTACTTAGCAGTATCTGCTTTTTGTTATTAGGAACCTAAGAACAGGCCCCTGGGTGTGTTTGTACATGGCTTTTATTCCTTACTAAAGTTGGGCCATTTTATGAACAGCAATTAGTTACTAAAGAGATAATCACATTATAGCTGGGTCCAGAGAATTGACTTTGTAGTCCTCAGTGACAGACTTCATCCTCATTCTATTAAAAAAGAAGAAAGAAAAAAAGATATGCATATATATGTGTGTGTGTATATATACATGTATATATGTATATACATAGAAAATCAGTTTTCTTATTTGCACATTGACCATTTTAGGATATACTTCTGGTTTTGACAAAACTGTTTAACATAGATTTTATGAAATTATCCCCGTTATTAAAAATCAGTCTCTAAACTTTGGATTTTCTTCACTTCTCTCCCAGCATTCAGATAACTTTCTCTCTTTTGAGTAAATAGTAATTTTTATCATTTATGCATTCTGGTGACTCCCGAGTACATGAGCCTTTTCTTCTGCAGACTTGGCCTCTAGGACGGCCTTTTTCTTCATCTTTGTTTTCTTGTTCTAAGATCTCCTCTGAAAGCATCTCACTTCCTCCTGGAAATGTCTCTTAATGTGTGTATCCTTTGCCTGTCATTTATTGGTTAGTTGTGTAAAATGCTGAGTTTCATCCTGAGGAATAGATTGAGGAGTAGATGACAGACTTGAGTGTCACGCCTAGACACGTGATCTACGTGTCAAGTAGTACAGTTACAAATGGGCCATGAGTTAAATTCTAGCGAATGGCAGCATCTTTATTCAAGATTTCACCTTTGTCTCAGCCTGTTTATACTACAGAAATGTGCTGCTTTTTGTTCTTGAGAAGGCATCAGTTTGACCTCTCTCATAATTAGAGATTTGTTTTAAGTATCAAATAGAAATAAGCAATGGCATTCCTTATATGTAGCTATTGATTAAGCTGACTGGGAATTTAAAAAGATGTAAGCTGGATTTTTTTTTTTTAAGATGTTATTTATTTATTTATTTGACAGAGAGAGAGACAGCGAGAGCAGGAACACAAGGAGGGGGAGCGGGAGAGGGAGAAGCAGGCTTCCTGCTGAGCAGGGAGCCCGATGCGGGGCTCGATGCGGGGCTCGATGCGGGGCTCGATCCCAGGACCCTGGGATCATGACCTGAGCCGAAGGCAGATGCTTAACGACTGAGCCACCCAGGCGCCCCTGGATTTTTTTTTTTTTTAAGTAGGAGAACAGATCATTATTTATTGTTGTTATATATTTAATTCTTAAAAAAGACAAATCACCCTAAAGTGAAAAAGCAAGAATGATGGAAATGAAAAGGAGCAAGAGACTGAGGAATGATTTCAAAATAATTCTGGGTATTTAAGAAAGAGGGCCTTCTTCCTCCCATTGTGATCCTCCTTTTGGTGAAAATGGGAAAACAAAAAGCCAGTAAAGTGGGAAGGAAGCAGGAAATCCTAGTTAGTGATCGTCAGATTTGAGTATTTAAGAGCCATGAAAATGCTTGCTTCTTTTACATTTAATACTTTTCCCCCAACTTGGTTTTGCCTTTTGTTTTCTTTAGAAAATCATGATTTTTCATTTCTATTTCCTAGTAAGGATACAGTTAAATAAAATTTGGAAGCCATATATTGTGATATGATTGTACAAAACCAAGTTAAATTTTGAATTTTGTGGTTGGAGGGAAACCATTCCAGAGTTTATTCAGTCACTTCCTATGCCAGTGCTGCCCTACTGCTCAGCCAGCAAGCCCTCTTTTTCTCCTCTAACTAGGTAGAAAACAGAAAATTTAGCCTCAAATAACAGAAACAAGGTAAAAGGAAGGAGTCCCACCTGGTCCTTATGTTCTGTCTGCTCTAGTCCTTGTAGTTTACTTCCTGGTTGAAAATATGCTACAGGACCTTGTTGAGATAAAATTCTCATTTCATGATTATATTAGGAAAGCAGGGTTTGGGACTAGGAGGTGAAATTATCTTCAGCACAGCAGTTAGGGATTTTTCCAGAAATGAATTGCTTTCCAGAAATGTCCTGAATTTTCAGTCATAATGGCCATGGTCTTTGCATTTATTTACTTTTATTTACTTTATGTTTATTTTTTGCACTATGTCATAGTTCCAGAAAGTGCTAAAAAGTCATCATGTATTTAAAACAAACAAACCAGAAAACCTCTTGTCCTGGGGCTGTGTGAAGAAGAATAAAGCTCTCATTTTCCCAGTACCCAATCATCAGCTTCAGCTGGCTTCTCCTAGGAATAGAATTTATTGAAGCAATTTATGCTGGCTAAATGTGATATAAATCTATGTATACCTATGTACATACAGGCTGTCTTCTATTACAGCAATGCTGCAGCATCAGTTTCCTTCATAGTTAGACCCTGTTCCTAGCACACTGAAAGATGACTAAGAAGCCCTTTCTATTTTGGGGGGCACCCCGCAATTTTAAACACTGATTAGTTGTGGAATTACTGATCAGAGCACCAGATATACTGGTTTCCAACCCCAGAGTGAGTCTTAAGAGAGTAGGAGAGATGTTACCTAGCTCCCCTCTGAGTTGTAAGCAGGGTTTTCTGATTACCAAATTCAGTCTAGCACTTTAACATTTTATTTTAATGCAGACCTGACTGAGGTTAACCTGATATTTTGGTTTATCTCCAAGATAAAAATTTGAGTTTAGTTACAGTTCTGAAGTTGTTTCTAGGCATATTCAAATTATAGTTCTTCCTCTTTCATCTTCCCTTGTTAATACTGTTTTCTACACCTTCCTTTCTTGTAGAAGGATGTTCGAAAATATCCTTTAGGAGTTTTTCCTATGAAGACTATTTTTGTGCCCCCCCCCTTTCAAAACCCTGTTTATCTTTTAGGAATATTTTTACTGTGATTTGCATTTCTCATCCTTATCCATCTCCACCTCTATTTTTATTCCTAGTTGGGAAATGAGATATTTCCCCAACACATTTGTATTGGAATTATTGTTCTTTGACAAAGAATTTCGATCAACATTTCAAGTTTAGCTTCAATACTTAAAGAACAACAACAGTATAAGCCCTGTTAAATTCTTCAGAGAAATAGAGAGGATGGATGGTGATGCCTTTTAGTGCCATTTCTTTTTTTTTTTTTTTTAGTGCCATTTCTTTTATCCCCTGCAGCAGCACACATCTGTTGGCTGCAACAGAGCAGCCCAAGAACTCTGGCCGAGAGCGGCACAAACAGCCGGAACATATTCACCCAGTAAACCCCCAAAGAGTCGACATTTGTTTTATTGCTGCTTTTAAAAACCTAGCCATAAATAGAATTAGAGGGGGAAGGGCACCGATATTTCTCCATTTGCCACAGACGATTGGTGGGGGGAGAAGGAGGCTCCCAGTGGGTAGAGAAGGTTTTTATTTTTATTTTTTTATTAATGAAAATCATTTCCCGTGCAGCCCAATAGGATGGGTGCTTTGTTTTCTTTGGCAATAATCTGGGATAAACGGCCCTTGCCAACAGTCTCGTAGTTTATACACCAGGGAGCCAGATTATAGCCCTGTAAAATGGAGCACCCCTCCTATAATCCCTTAATTAATTAAATGACAAATTTTGGTCTTCTCTAGTTCAGAAATATGGCTTCCGCATCGAATGTTCAGTGGATTTATTGACATGGGGAACTGCACTGATTGTAATTCAGCAGACTAGAGGAGTGTGTTATATACTGTAGAAGAAAGAGGGAAAATCTACCAAAGGTTTGAAATTCCTTGACTATTTAGGTCTCAATTTTTCTAATTAAAAGTTTCAGTTGAGGCGCAGTAGATCATATGCCACCTGTCTAATGGGTCTCCCCAAAGTAGCCTGTGTTTTAGCTTTCATAGACAGCATTCTTGGAACACCTGTTTCTAGCCTTGATATTTTTGAAGCACTTTTTTTTTTTTTTTAACTCCAGAGTATTTAACATAACTTTTCCCCCTGCCTCCCCCTCCTCAGCTCCGCTCTGCTATATGAAATATGGGAGACGACAGACCATTTGTGTGCAATGCCCCGGGCTGTGGACAGGTACGTTTACAATATACTTTATTGTGAATGTCTCGTTGTGAATCAAAGTGGCTGTTTTATCACTAAGGCAAAGAGTTTAAAGCCGGTATTTTACGTGATCACTGGAGGTAATCAGATCAGAGGATTTGCAGTGTGTAAACCCATGTTATGAGGAAGTGTAGGCACTCTACCGTAATGAAATCTGCCTTGCTCTCTTTCATATTGTTATTCTACCAGTGTTTGTTTCCCAACACACAGTGTTGAGGAATACATGTTGCTCTCTCCTGCTTTCTAAAGCTATCCATCTAAATATAAAACAAGTTTAGAAATATCTCTTCCTCAGCCTTCGTGGATATAAAAGTGTGCTTAACATATTTAGAGTAGGCAGCTGAGAATGTACCCGTTCATCGTGAACCCCAATTTGTTGGAGTCTATTGGATTTTTTACATAAGAGAAAAGTTTCTTTGGACTGTGGATCCAGAAAATCGTTGGTAGGTAAGGCAGATATCTTTCTATCTAGGAAATACAAATCTAGCGTAGAACCTGAGATCTCACAGCAGTATATAAACTACAAGATTTCTCAACCGTCTTCCCTTTCTGACTCCATGAAATGCCTTGTTGTGTGTCAGCTGCCATGTTATTGTTTGCATATGTGTACATTATGTGTCAGATATTTTTCATTATATGCTTTTTGAATAAAGTAATTTTGTTGAAACTGCCTTTTTACACCCCCCCCCTCCATTTTGTACCTTCTTAACTCTTCTTCCTAGACCCTCCCCTACTGCCATGTTCAACAAACGATGAAGAAAAGCACACAAAAGAAGTTTTATCAGCCTTCATGAATTGATTTTATGGAACTGAGGGTTGAGTTTCTGTTCAGTTAGGAATATGCCATGTGACTGCCCAGTGACACTTACTGGTGGTATGTGAAATTGCAGACTAGTTCTATTAAACATTGTAAATACTTAAGCAGAAAGAAGAGAGTTAAGTTCCAGAGATTCCTAAGAATTGGAATTTGAGAGGTGAATGAGATGAGAGTAGTGACAAGGAATAAGCAGAAGGAGGATTCCAAATTCCAGTAAACACTGAAAATTTCAGAAAAGGCTAAAAAAGCCATTGCATTCTGAAGTATTCAGCATTGTAGGGTATATTTCCTTTCTTGTCAGAATTTTCAACGTTATTGTTGACTGTTTCCCCCCATGTGATTTGTGTTTTATTTTACAATAGAAGCCACTTGGGAAATTAGGGTAAATTTGTTTCATTTTTCAGACAGCTGTATTAGAATACATATCTGAACCTGATCCCTCCAAATTTTTGTGTGTGGATTTGTTGATAATACTATTTACTGTGATTTCCATAATTGATACCTGGGACCCTTTTCACTTATCTCCATTTTAAAATCTGCATTTTAGGTGAAAAGATTTATTTTTCTCATACTTATATTTATTTTTCTTCATTTACTGTTTAAGCTTCTCAGTGCCCCTCTTATGTTTTATGCTTAAAACCACCTAGACAAGGACTTAAAGAAATTAAAATGGATTATAAAATTAAAGGAATAAACCGGGAAAGCATCTCTTAAGCTCCCTGAGGAAGAAAGGTATAAATGGGTTTCTTTAGGCCCTCTCATCAGAAAAGAGTAATTTTCACTGAAATTTGTGAGATCCCAGAGGATTTTGTGTTTGTTTCTTTTTGTTTTGCATTTTTTGGACTAGAGGTGGTAAAAACAGTAGGGCCTTTTTACTTTGGTTCCTTTTGTATTGTTGGATACTATTTATCATAAGCCTCTTCCTTCCCCTACTTCTTCCTCCCATTTCTGAATTGTTTGCTGGTGTTTTGGTTGTTCAGATTCGTTACAACCTCTAGTGTTGGTCCTGAAGGCTTTTCTCCCCCTCAGCAGATATGGAACTCAGGGAGATTGCTACCTTCTTTTGGATTCAAGTTACTTGTTTCATAGAAAAGGATTGAAAGTAGCTTCATTCATTCGTCCCTTTTCCTCCTTTGCATGTCAGGACTTTATGGTCAGGTAAAAATTGTAGTTCTTTAGTTATATTTAGTCACCTTCCAAGTTTCTCCCAATATCTAGTGACAATTAACTCTAAAGTGGGATCTCTACAAGATTTACTTTACTATGATTGCTTTCCATTATATGAAATAGTAGAAATCTGGCAGGGAAGATAAATTTGGGAAAGCAAAACTACCCTTGGCCTCTCATCCAGCTTTCTTATATCCCTTGAAAATGGTTTCATCCTGGAGCCACTTGAGGCCTTCAAGCTATTTATAATCCACTGTCATTGATTCAAAATTTTTATTCCAGACACGGTAGAATAATTTTTTAAAAAAGCTACGTAAATCCCAGTAGTGGTAATAAGGACCATGATAATTTTTACAAGACATGGTTTAGAACTTATTGCCGTAGAAGCCTCAAAAATCAGTGGTTTCTACCACTTAGAGGAAGAAGGAATGAAAGCAAATTAGAATTCAAGAGACTGATCCTTAAAAAAACCAACCAGCAGAGAAAAAGTATAGGAATCTTGCATTATTTCAGTATCTGTTCTCTGCACAGACTTTACCCTATGTACCCCTAAACTCAGAAATCATCTTACGCCTTAATATTAAGGGAAGGTGAAAGGAAAATTCACCTAAAATAGACTAGTGGATTATGCTGTCCACCATATAATCAAAACCACAGGACTTTCAATGGATACGTAAACATGTTTTGGTTGCTAGGTCTTTAATGGCTGTTATTTTTGGATTCTGTTCATGATCTACTTCCCAACAGTAAGTCTGATGTGACACAGCTGAGTTCTAAATATGCTGCATGCACTTTTTTAAAAGAAAGATGGCTGCTGAACGTTGTATTCTTTGCATTCTTATCTGAAAAGACAGATGATAGGGTGTTTTGAGCCCTCTCATCCCTATTCTCCTGTTGAGACCCTGTTTCTCTTGAGGCCTCATCACTCTCATGAAGAGGAACTTAGGGAAAACAATATTCTTGCTAATACCTCTCTATGGAATGTGGTAGCAGGAATAGTTAATAGAGCTGCCTCCAGAGAATGGGTTAACGTTGTTAAGGCAACAGTACCCCAGATACCCTGTGGCAAAGGGTTGGGTTGAATTTGAGTGGTTTGGGTTTTTGAAATGTTTATAAGATAGCATCTAATTAAAACCATTGTGACTATAAAATGGCTTTCCTTCTGTGTTGTTAAAATTAGTTTGGTGCTGAATTTAGGTAGTCTTTTGTTTTTGATGCTTTGGGGAACATTTTTATTTAAGGGTGGATTGTAAAATTGTTCTATTGTTTGTGGAAGCAGGAAAAACTATAGTTGACCCTTGACCAATGGAAGGATTAGGAGCACACGGGGGAGTTAAAAATCTGCATATAACTTTTGACTCCCCAAAAACTTAACTACTAATAGCCTACTGTTGACCTGAAGCCTTACCAATAAAACATAAACAGTTGATTAACCCATATTTTGTATGTTATATGTATTATATACTGTATTCTCACTTTGGAGTAAGCCAGAGAAAAGAAAACGTTAAGAAAATTGTAAGGAAGAGGGCGCCTGGGTGGCTCAGTTGGTTAAGCGACTGCCTTCAGCTCAGGTCATGA